CCCTCATCCAGCCCATTACCTCGGCCAGGCACCGGTTGAGCACAGCCACTGCCTCACCTGGATTGGTAGAAAATGAGAAGTAGAGCTGGGTTTCATCAGCGTACTGATGATTCCACAGCCCACACCTCCTGATGACCTCTCCCAGTGGTTTCATGTAGATGTTAAATAGCATGGGGGACAAAATGGATCCCTGCAGTACTCCATGGCATAGCTGCCCTGGCGCAGAGCCATAGTCCCCCAGCACCACCTTCTGGAATCGGCCATTGAGATAGGAGCGGAACCACTGCAAAGCAGTGCCTCCGACCCCCAATCCCGCTAGCCTATCCAGAAGGATACCATGGTCGATGGTATCGAAAGCCGCTGAGAGGTCCAGGAGGACCAGTCATAGACCAATCATTAGGCAGAATGAGGCGGCCATTTCACACAGCAGATGCTGGGCGACATCAGTCACAAGGCATCAGTGGAAAAAGTCATGTGCCATGTGGCCAGCCATATACCCAGTAACCAAGATTGTTGCTTTCAGATGTAAAAGATTCAACTGCCAGTCCAGTTTGGTTTTGTATATGGAAGGCAAGGAAGCATCATCTTGATTTTTTGCTTCTGGCAGAAAAAATGTCCTGAGCTTCACCCAATCGCGTACCAACCACCAAATTTTGACCAAGTGCTCCCTCACTCTAGAGACATGGAAGACCCGTACATATATCTGTCAGACTTTTCAGTGGATAACTTATACTTCATATTAAGTAAGTAATGGCTGGTAATTTAACTGTGGGGATGCAAACAGATTCCAAAAAGCTTCCAACTCCAGAATTCCTATATTGCCTCTCTGTTTACATTCCTCAATTGTGCTGCTCTTTAATTGGTAAACTAGGGAGTGCATTGCTTACCTGGCACACCAGGGGGCGTTTTAAGATATTTCCCATTAAAATGCTGAATAACCACTTCACATTTTTCAGTAGATTCCATCCTGGGGGTAAAAAATAATACAGAAAATAATGATTATAGTGTGATTAAGCTACGTGGTAAAGAGAAAACCTCTCAAATTAGTTTGCAGGACTTCATAAAGGAAGCAGACAGAATGATTCATTATCATGTTGCCTTAACTAGGATGTAAATGTTTTCTGGCAGGATGCATTTGCATGATGATAACACTATACCTGCAAAACACATTATTTTCATATGAGACAAGAGTCTAACTTTTGGTATTTAAAAAACACATTTCTTACAGGTGCAGGACTCAGGAAACTTAATGTTTTTGGCAGTTTATCCAGAAAACATACAACCACTCATGAGAAAATGCAAGTTTTCTCTTCATAAGTGATGATATCCTGAACAGTATTGTTATTATACAATGCTCCCTGGCAGAATTTTGAATTAAAATATTCAGCAATTTTCCCTCAGCACACTTATAATTTTCAACTATAATAGAAGTAATGCAGAAGAGAACGCTAAACCAGTAGACAAAAGCTGGGCACAGTATTCTGAACATTTAAACAAATAAAATATAATTAAATAAGTAAGGGTTCATAGTTCAAAATATATTTAAGTAAGGTCGCCTGGGAGGCCATAGGATTTTTCTTGCAACCTGAACTTTGGACTCCTAAGGCTGAGCCCCCATCTTGCTCCGGCGCTCTTACTGCCTACACGGAAACCTCTCAGAGGTGGAGAGCAAGGGTGTGCTTGAGCAGGCAGGAAGCTGTGGTCTCCCTTCAGCCTCATTCTCTTCCGTCCCTTGAAGGAAATCTAGATGCTGTTACTGGGCGTCTGAATAACATGCTGGGCACAAGCCATGACAGCGGCAGACAAGGCTACCACCACACCACCAGCTCACCTCACCCATTGCCTGGATGATCATCAGCTTCCAAGGCTGGAGGCTAACAGGCTGCTGACATGAGAGAAGTAGGATTGCACCCTTGGTTACAGTGTAATGTCACGCATGCTTACTCAGATGAAAATCCCATTGTGCTAAGTGGAGTTTACTCCAAGGTAAGTGTACACAAGGTTGCAGAAAAATAGGCATACCTATCATAAATGCAAGCCGAAGGATCCAGTATACTGTTCCCTTGCTCCAAATAGCAGCAGCTTCTCCTGAGGGAAGCCCCCCCCCCCCGACACACACACACACGGGCATGTCCTGGAATTTTTTTTCTGTCTGAAGACATTCTGAGAAATTAAATGAGCATCCATCGATCAGCCGAAGTTGGTTGAAGGAAAGTTATCATCTCACCTACTTAAGATTTCTCATTTTCTCGGACCAAAATGACTTCACTATTCTGCATCTGATAGCAATTTCACTGCATACCTCATCACTCTAATCTTCAAGAAGAATGGACACAGATAAACTCTGCTGTGAGTTGGAACTACACAACTACAGCAGTGGCAACTACTGCCACAATGACATGAAAGGGAAGTGTGATATTATTGGATGATGTTTTGGTATTGGGGCTTACTCTTGCTTCTGCTCCTTTGGTAGCCAGCATACTAATTGCTGGTCTCTCACTGACAGGCTGACACTACCTTGTCCTCGAAATAGCAACCTTTTTAGCCGGCCTTCTAGTACTCGCTTTACAACCATGTGTCATACTCACCATTGCCCTCTCTGGTAGCCTGAGAGAAGGCATCCTTGGCTGTGTCTATATTGCACCCAGAAAGATTTGCTTCGAAAACAACTTCCAGCCTCAAAGGCTTTATGAAGATTTAACAAGATTATTTGGAAATCCTCTGCCTTGTTCCATAACTGTCCTATTTAAACTTCCCACCAAGCGAACTGTTGTTGCTAGTCCATGGCATAATACATAAAAATGTTTGAAAATTAAGTGTGCACAAAACTTCCAAAGGCCTATAGGAAGTCTCTTGGACACCCTATAGCAGTGTAATTCCGTTTTCATACAAGCTGTGCACTCCCAGCATGCCTTGTTATCAATAAAGTTTTGGCAGAAAATTTGGCAATGATGGAAAAGAGGGGGGTGCCCTGTGGATTCTAGAATGTGGTGTGGTCCTAAGCACCAGAAGTTTGGTACCCCTGATGTAGGGCATGGGGATAAAGAATGAACTACAAATCATAAACAGTGAAGCATTCTGGGAAAGTACCACACAAGGAAATTATACCAAGAAAACAATCCAGGTAAATTACCTGACTTGGCATATAGTTACCTGAAGCTACCCCAAAAAGATTTATCCCCTGCCAGAAAAAAAGCAAGAACAGAAAACACTTGCCTACACCTCAACCAGCTTTAACCATGAGGGTCCCTCAAACCAGCCACATAAGAGACCTCAGATTAGCCCATTTCTCCATATAAATTTTTCAGCCAAAACCCAAGCTTTGATAATCTGAAACTCACCTCAGACCCTGATAGAAGATGCAACAAGATTTCCCAGTGGGACTAGTATTAAGCATATGGAGCAGAAAGTTTTGGCCTCACGGGGCTCAACTTTTAATTTTTTCTCTCTGTAGCACTGCCTTCCACCTGAAATTTTAGTTTCAAACTTGATGTCCCTCCAAGCAAGGAAATGGCAAAAGCCCCAGCCTGGATTTGTACTCCTATCTCTTCTCCCTTTCACGGTGTATTAATATACACCACCCCCACATCATGTGCAGTTAAACTTTTAAAAAAGTGCTAATGTATTCTTCTGGATTGCAAAGCTGTTCTCCTGAGTCTAAATACAGGGTAGTGCAAGGAAATTTGCATTCTACTGCAGAAGTTTTCAGAGTGAGTTTGGAAAAACTGAATAGGGGATGATTAACTGTATCAAATTTTATGGTACTTTGTTTCAGGAGGACACCCTAAAATTGTCCCTCTTGGCTTGCAATCACTGCTGTCTTTTGCAGCCCCAGTTTTTGTTGTCTTGTTTTTTACTGCTGCTACAAACACGTGGGATGGGCCATTTCTACAAACAAAAAGATTGAAGCTGAGAGTGTTCACTTTGGCTTCATTCAGATTTAACTAAGCGTACGTCGGCAGCAAGTCTTTAGAGACTCCTGTCTCTGAAAGACTAAATGCAATAAAAGTCTGTTTTCTGTAGCTGCGGGCGTGGAATGTCAAACCATGTTACGCTGCACCACACAGCAGTGCAATTTCATTTTAATACATGGGGGCACATCTTAACAACCCGAAGTATTCCCAGCAAAGAATGAAATACAGAGCCTGCCAAGCGAAAGCGCTTTGGTACACTTTCTGTATTTCATGTAGGAAGAGAATAGAAGTGAAACCCACCGTGCTCTGAAATGACCAGAAAGTGAGGAGGGTGTGGGGAAATTATTTGATGAGCTGCCATAGAAAGAACAGGTCCATTTTCTTCTCAAGTTTCACAATTGACAGCTCTCGAATGCCAGAGCTAGCAATCCATAAGCTGGCATGTATTTCACCAGAAACAGACTCTGGAGTGATCAACTCCATCTGAAAAATGGAGCCTTCTGTCAAATGTACTTCTGAATAGCTACCACTGTGCCCATTCCATAAAATTTCACATGTTCTGTGATGGTTCTCCTATGCTTGTCAGGGATATGTCAGTACTGCGTGTCTCTCATATGGAATGGGTGTTGCTGAATTACATTTAAAATTATATTCCTTGGAATCATATTCATTCATACAAGTGAGGGTGCAAGTACAGGTAAAGGAGCACCTTGGACACCAATGTGCCCCCAGACATGTGTTTTGGTGTCCACCAAGTTGCACTATCCCCCCTTTGAACTTGACAAATTAAATGAATTCTGTCAGTACTGGAAATTGTGGAGTTGTCAGCCTTGTACTCCATCTTTGCTTGTTCCTTGTGACCAGCTGCTGTTTTGCAGCAGTGCCCTTGACAGTTTCTAAAATTACCAAATATGTTGACAAGCCCTGAAATGTTGCTTATCCTTGATGCAAGGTATTTAATCAGCAGTATACCCAAGAAATCCACACAATAAGCCAGGAATACCAGGAGAGGTGCAGGGAGGAAACTCTAAAAATGTAAGCCTGAAAATACGCGGTGAAATGCAGTGTTGGCAATCTTTTTGGGCCATGACCAAATTTGGTGATTTGAGAAACTGACCCGGGCAAAATGGCTGTCAGCAGTGGCAAGGCAAAGGACAACCCTCTCAAAAGCTTACACAAAATGCATAAGTGGTGCCTACATTCCAATTCACCGAACAGCTCCTTTGAGCACACAGTTTCTTACAGCGCCAACAGAAAACTATTTCTCAGCAATCCCAGATGCAAGGAACAAAGTTTGTTAATTTTTAAAAGTGTGAAGTGGAGGACATCTTGCATCTGCCCCTGGAAAAGAGTATTTCAAAAGGGCTCTCGGCCTTCATCAGTGAAGGTGTCATGGATAAGGTCAGTGAGTGGCATTCTCAGGTACCCCTCCCTCTACTGCCTGAACCCAAGGGCAGATCTAACTACTGCACACTTTTTGGCCCAGTATTGAGAAAAGCAAATGTTGGGAAACTGCAAGGAACTACCTTGGGTGCTTGTTAGCATTACTTCTGGGCCATCACAGCAGAGCTGCCTGGTGGTGGCATAAACATGCTCACAGCAGCACCAAGCCGGGCTGCATGGCTTGGCTCAGCTCAGGGTCAAAGTACACGATCCATTAAGCTAGCCCTTGCTTTGTTTTCTTCCTTACCCACAGGTACATAAAAAGTACCTAAAAGTGGATCAGGACCAAAATGTGCATGTGGAGGAGATTTAAACTTTTCCACTCTAACTAGTTGTTTCTGGAAATTTACCCTCATGTGGGCTCATGGAAATCCTCCACTGGACATGGGGGAAAGCAGGAAGGGAGGGGTCTGAAAACTTCCTTTACCAAGGTAGTCCTGATCTGGATTGTGGCCCTGAACATCAACTAATTTCTTTCCTTCAAAAAGAAGTTCAGTTCTATACGTATTTACTTAGAAATAAGTCCCACTGAATTCAATGGGATTTCCTCTGAGGTAAGAGAGGATAGGATTGCAACCTCACTGTATCAAGAAAAGGAGGAGACTCTCCA